TGGTATTATTTTATAAGTTTTGTTGAAAACAAGCTTTTATTTCTTTTAAGTGAGAAGTTTTCTAACTTCAAGGATGAAGAATGGAGCCAATCGAGAGAAAAAATTACAGCTGAAATTAAATCTTTGCAAAAAGCCAAGGATATTCTGGATGAATTAATTTCAAATTAACAATATAAATAGATATTTATAAAAACTAGTCGAATAGTTAATATTTTCATTCAACAATTCTTTGAAAATAAAATCTCAATTATCTTAAACATAAATATTTACTTTTGTTTTTGAATTTTTATTATATACCGAAGATATTTTTAGATAACAATGGTATTAAAAATATTATTTTATATTTTAAATGTTTTCCCTGCATAGCCCATAAATATATATATTTTTTAATAAAATACTTTTTAAGAAATAAAATAGAAAATAATATTTGGTTTCTATAAAAAGTTCTTCCTGTTGCTTCATAGATTATAAATGAAATATTGTTTAAAAAATGCCTTAAAACAATTATATGAGTAAAAATAGTTATCTAAATCTAAAATATCTAAGGAATATATGCAAAATTAAAAAAATCAGTCAAATAAATATAAATGATGATCAATTTCTATGAAATTTTAAAAATTATAGAAAAATTGAGCAGAAGACTATAACATTATCAACCTTAAAGCTTATATTTTATTGTAAAAGACAATAAATATTACATAGAAATACGAAAAACTCTTAAAAATTAATTTTTTGATAGAAAAATAATTTTAATAAGAAATTACAATAGCATTTAAAGATACAATCAATAAATTATAATTTTCAGGACTACACGGATCAGTTCCCGTCAGGAGTTGTCCAAAATATAGAGACTTTTTATATTTTAAAGAGAAAGAATAATGTGAAAGGAATTTTTATTTAATGAATGTATTTGTTAACTGTTGATTGCCATAAGGACATAATTATTTTTACTGAGTTATTAATTATTGGATTTATTTTAACTTATATGTTATTCTTAAATAATAGCCTTAAAATTTTCCTACAAAGATCTTGGCTTAGCAATGCAAAGATAATTAATCTTGTCATTAAAGCTTTTTATTTTTAATGGTGCTTATATAAATAATCATGTTGAGAGCTTAAATTAACCATATTTAAAGAGAATATCTACTAGATTTAGAGCATTTTTACTCGAAGATAAATTTCTTTTTGACATAACATAAAAGTTACAAAAATTGAAAATTTAAATATTTAACTCTTCATTTATATTGTTCTCTTGCTTCATTATCATTTCCTTAAGCATTTTACTTATAATTAAATAATAATTTTAAAAAGAATTAACATAACATAAGTTATCAGTTCATGACACATATAAAAATGAATAAGTTTGAATGTTCAACTACTGGTATATTTTATCCCATTTTTTAATCGTCTTT